AGATAGATATTTGTTAAGAACTTAGGGTCGCTTAAATGCACCTGCATGCATTTGTGCCACTCAGAATATGACAAATGTAACCAATTGAGATGAAAATTGCTTAAAAAGCCTTATAGTTGATGCAGCACCCCCATCCCCCTTCCTCACTTCTGTGTCTCTTCCCATAACCAGGGTCCTCCATCCATCTGGGGGCAGGGGGAGGTTTCAGGCTCCCCACCCAGCAGGAGCAGGCCCTGGAGTGCCAGCCTTTCATCCAGAAGGTCCTCCAGGGACTCTTTCACATACAGGGTTAGCCCATTTGCTAAATCAAAATAAAACCGCTCAAGGTAAGGACCTTTCCTCTTAAGACAAGGGTACTCAGCCAGCCAGTCAGCAACGATTATTTGCTGAGTCTGTGAAGTGCAAAATACTATGCTGGGTTATAAAGTGGATTCGAAAGGTGTACGATGGCCCTTGACTCCAGCCAGGGAGTCAAAATAGGCTCTGGAAAAAGGTACCATTTTGAGGCAATGCATGATTAGGAGCCAGGTGTGGCTCAAATAAGCATTTGTTACACTATGCCCAAGGGTAGTTGCTCCTCAGGGTTGGCCCAGCGTGGGAATGGGGGAGGCCAATGCAGCAGCCTTCCAGGAAGAAACTAAACACAGGGGCTTTCCTATGAGCATGTCATATTTGTCAGCAGCATGATCTTTCCTCTCTTACTGTCTTTCAACTGGAAGGACTCTGGATGCTTCTCTGATCGTGTGTGTTTCAACTGGAGTTCACATGTTGAGCCTACCCAGGCCTGGGAAGTTTAAGGGAAACAGCTTGCAGTGATCACTGGGCAAATAAAAACCAGCAGTGGAGAAGCACTGGGAAGTTGGTGGTGAGTGGAGAAGGAAAGAGGCCATAGGTAGAGAAATCTAGTTATGCTCTGTGGAGAATATATGCGGGTGCTGGGTTGGAGGCTGTTGACTAGCAGTCGGGTCTAATGCCAGACCTAGGGGTCTTGATGGGAATCCACAGAGGAAGGGAGCTCCTGAGGCAGCGGCAGCAGAGGGATAGAATTTGAGCTGGGTGTCGAAACCTAGAGAAACAGAAGGAAAAGGAAGCCATTGGCTCCTGGGTATATGCTGCGGGAGGTATGAGCAGAGGTCTCTGACTTCTGGTCTTTCTGCCCCCGGCAGAGTCCACATCGGTTTTCGCACGAATCTGGGAAACCATCATATTTGCAGGTACCTAGGGAGAGAGTGTGTTGTTGCTGTTAATGTATAATTTCCACAAATTACAAATATAATTCCCATAAAGATATAAAATGAACGTGTCAAAGTTTTATTTGACCCATCAGTGGAGGAAACCAGTGAGATGGTAAACTGATTCAAAGAGTATTTGAGGAACTGGGTATTTATAGGCTTAAAAAACAAGGGTAGATTAAGATTGCTAGGTCATACGTAAAACTGGGTAATGCCCCACAGGGTAATAAAACTGTAGTCTTTAAAAGGTTTTCCTGCCATTCAGAAATCTAGAAGTTAACATGTAACCTCACACTGTCTGCGTTCTGATCAGATAGTAAATAGTCAAGTCAAACGCAAGGATATTCTAGAGAATGAGAGAATGGCTGGGAGGCATTGTTCAACAATGCTGCGGTATGACCTTGAGAAGACACTATCCCCCCTTCTCCCCGCCTCGCTCCCCACCGCTCCTGCCCGGCTGCCTGAGTTCCAGGTTGTGCATAGTTTGGACGTTAAAAAAAATAGCTGGGAGTTGAAGATCTGAGATTGAATCCCAGTTCCTTCCCTTACCAGCTGTGTAATATGGGTCAGGTAATTACCTATGACTGACCTGGATTTACTTGCTATGAATGGGGAGGAACAAGTGAGATAACTTTTGTAAAATTCCTGGCACATGATAGGCGCTCGATCAATCTTAGTTCTTCTCTTTACCTTCCTTTTTTTTATAGATATGTAAAATTTTATGTATTTATTACATATAGAGAGGGGGAGTGCCTGTGAGCAAGGGGAGGGGGCAAAGGAGAGGGAGGGGGGAAGAATCTCAAGCGGACTCCTCAGTGAATGGGAGCCTGGGGCTGGGCTGGATCCCGTGACCTTGAGATCACAACCTGAGACAAAACCAAGAGCCAGATGCTCAGTGGAGCCACCTAGGTGCCCCACCTTTCCTCTTTTTATTTTTTTATTTATTTTATTTTATTTTATTTTTTTAAAGATTTTATTTATTTGACAGAGAGAGACACAGCGAGAGAGGGAATGAACACAAGCAGGGGGAGTGGGAGAGGGAGAAGCAGGCTTCCCGCCGAGCAGGGGGCCCGATGTGGGGCTTGATCCCGGGACCCTGGGATCATGACCTGAGCCGAAGGCAGATGCTTAACGACTGAGCCACCCAGGCGCCCCACTTTTCCTCTTTTTAAATGAAAAACATTTTTCACCTTTTGGCTGGCCTTCATAGATGAAGTTCTCTCTCTCTCTCTCTGTCCCTCTCTTTCTCATCTCTAGTTTATTAGAATAATATCCTAGAACTCTGGTAGATTTTCTCCATTCCTTTTTTTTTACATTTTATTTATTTGAGACAGAGAGAGCACAAGCAGGGGGTAGTTAGCAGAGGGAGAGGGAGAAGAAGCAGACTCCCTGCTGAGCAGGGAGTTTGATGCAGGGCATGATCCCAGGACTCAGATCATGATCTGAGCCAAAGGCAGATGCTTAACCCTCTGAGCCACCGAAGTGCCCCTCAATTGGTCATTTTTAATAGTGGCCAGAGAAGCATCTTTTTACTCTTGGCTTAGGTTCTTTTGCTTCAGGACTAGCTCATTTCTCTTCTACTAGTTGGTTTATGAGCTTCTGCTTTTGCTGCAGGAAAGTGCGATTAAGATTGAATTGCCCTTGACTATACCTACCTCCCAGTGTAGTAGATTAATGGGTCAGGGATCCTAAAGTCTGAACTTCTTTTTTTTTAATAAAAAATTTTTTTTAAGGTTTTTTTTTAAGATTTTATTTATTTATTTGACAGAGAGAGAGAGAGTACAAGCAGGGGGGAGCAGCAGGGAGAGGGAGAAGCAGGCTTCTACTGAGCGGAGAGCCCGACATGGGGCTTGATCCCAGGACTCCGGGATCATGACCTGAGCTGAAGAGGGACACTTAACCGACTGAGCCTCCCAGGAGCCCCCTCGAAGTCTGAACTTCTGCCACTACTTACAGTGTTGTTTCTTCTTAGTGTTTATACACTTTTTTTTCTTTCTTGCCTAAATGTAGAGCTCGATGTAGTCTAAACATTGTTTAGTATCAATTGTCACACAAGGGAAAAGTTCTATAACCCTCTTTCCTCATTTCTGCATCATAGCTGGAAATGAGATGATGTCATCAGTGCCTTGATAGCCCGAGCTCAATTTACTCATTCATTAGGCAACATGTATTTATTGACCAACTACTCTGCCAAGCCCTGGTGATTTTTCTGTAGACATAAGTAAGACTCTGCTCTGATGGAGACAGACTGTAACCAAGTAAGTAAACAAGATGATTACAGATTTTGATAAATTTTATAAATGAAATAAATCAGATGACAAGAAACTTTAAGCTGCTATTCTTAGTAATTTTAATTGAGGTTATTAGAGACATTCTCTTTCTGAGTTGGAAATAGAAGGATGAGAATGAGTCAGCCACAGGAAGAGTTGAACGGAGAGCATTCTAGGAAGGAGAGCATGATGAAGAGAGGTGTGGGATGAGTTTGGCTTGTTCAAGTCACAGAAAGACAGACTTGGACATGAAATGGGGTGAGCCAGGGTGCAGGTCGGTGGAGAGGTGGTCAGAGGGTTGGTAGAGCCATCTAGGGCTCTGTAGATCATGGGAAGGAGTTCGGTTTTTTTTTAAGTGCAATGGAAAGCTCATAAAGAGGCCTAGGACAGGGTGCCTGGGTGGCTCAGTTGGTTAAGCGACTGCCTTTGGCTCAGGTCATGGTCCTGGAGTCCCAGGATCGAGTGCCGCATCGGGCCCCCTGCTTGGCAGGGAGTCTGCTTCTCCCTCTGACCCTCTTCCCTCTCGTGCTCTCTATCTCTCATTCTCTCTCTCTCAAATAAATAAATAAAATCTTAAAAAAAAAAAAAAAGAGGCCTAGGACAGTGAAATGGCACAAGCTTATGAAAAGAAGAGAAAGAAAAGAATACAGCTGTGTGAAATCTCAGATGGAGGGTGTCAAGCGTGGGAGTGGGGAGACCAGTGAGTTCCTTGTGCTTGGGTATGATGGTGGTGGCACAGATGTAGGGAGAAAGATGCTTTGAAGATTGGACTAGTTTACGGAGAGTCCCAAATATCTGAATGAGAGCGTGCATTTGATTTTTGCAGCTATGAGGGAGCTTTGTGTGTAGGTAAGTTTGTGAGTGGAAGTATATTTGTAAGTGTGTGTGTGTGACTGTGAGTTTGAGTGGGTGTGAGTGTGTATCTGTGAGGTGTGTGTGTGTATTTGTAAGTGCATGTGAGTGTGTGTGTGTGTGCACACTTGAGTTTTTTCCCGTTGTAGCTTTTGAATGGGCAGGCCAGTGGCATGAAGGAAAGGGCTGCCTTTGTGGTATAGATTAACTGGGGCAAAGTTGGTGGCAGGAAGACTAGCCAGGAGGTTAGTGGAGCTGGATGTGAAAGGAAGGCCCAGAGGATGCTAACTTGGCCGTGAAGTAAGAGAAGACTAAATTGGGCAAATCCAGTTGTTTTATTCTGTATCTGGATGAATGAGACCGAGAACTGAAACATAATTCCTTTAAGGAAATCACACTCTTCATATTAGCCCAGTGTGATTGCTAGTTTTATCTGTCTTAATTATTTAAAAAAGTTAAACCTCACTAAAATTCATTTGCTTGATTTCTCTGGAAGACAGCCCGTTAGTAAACGTTGAGTGAATCTACTGCATCCCACCCAGATTGTCCCCTAACCCTCGCTCCTGCACTTATGTACATACTCATTTTCTCACATTTGGAGTTCTTAATTCTTGAGAAACTCATTGTATTTTTTGTTCCCCTCTAGGACATCTTTGAAGATGCAATGGAAACCATCTCTATGTAAGTAGTAACATAATAAAAAGTATATAGTAAAGAAAAATTGATGGTTCTCTTATATAAAATGTGTAAATATTTCTTCCTTACTTTTTGAGAGTTGTGACTATGGCCAAAAAGAAATCAGTTCCGTAATTCAGGAGTTAGGATGTGATAACGCTTAAGAAAGAATCTATCTGATGTTACTAGCAAATATATTTTGAGTATTATTTCTTGTAACCTTAATTCAACTAAAAAGAAGAAATGTTTTCCAACAAATTTAATTTTATTTGTTTATACCCAACCCTATGACATCTTGTGCATGTGTTTTTAGATGAGTAACCTCATATTGTGGAATTTCACTTTCGGTGTGCTCTTAATTTTATTACAAGCATGTCCTATAAGTCTGCATAGTTTTTGTACTGATTTTACATGATACCCTGTTAGATCAAGTGGAACACCACAATTATCCATTTCTCCTTTGTTAGACATTTAGGTTGTTAACCAGTTTAAAAACTTAAAACTAAGTAATGAGTATTTTCATGTATATAGCTTTGTCATGTTTTTTAATTATCTCCAAAGATTAACTTCACGGATGTAGGCTTACTGGATTAAAAGGGATGGAGATTTTTATTGCTCTTTATACAATATTTAAAAAAAAAAAAAGATGTATTTATTTATTTTAGAGAGAGCCCGAGTGGGAGGGGCAGAGGGAGAGGGAGAGAGAATCCAAAGCAGATCCTGCGCTGAGTGCAGAGCCTGATGGGGTTTCAATCCCACTTGTAGATGGCTGCCATCTCTTAGGTCTTCACATGACAGACAGATAGACAGACAGACAAACAGGCCTCTTCATACAAAGGCACTAATTTCATCATGGGAGTCCCATTCTCAGGACGTCATCTAAACCTAATTTTCTCCCAAAGGCTTCATCTCCAAACACCATCACAATGGAGGTTAGGGCCTCAACACATGAATTCTGGGGGACACAATTCAGTCCATAACACTTTCAAAAGAGTTTTATCAGTTTATGTGGTTACCAATACTGTGTAAGTGGAGTGGTTTAAAATGTAGAATCACGGGGCGCCTGGGTGGCTCAGTTGATTGAGCGTCTGACTCTTAGTTTCTACTCAGGTGTTGACCTCAGGGCTGTGAGGTCGAGTCCCTCATCGGGCTCCACGCTCAGCGAGGAGACTGCTTCAGATTCTTTCTCTCCCTCCCCCGCTGTCCCTCCCCCTGCTCACGCTTGCTTGCTTTCTCTTTCTCTCTCAAATAAGTAAACAAATCTTTAAAGAAAATAAAATTTAGCATCACCACTGGGTGCTATCTGAAATGGTTTTGCTACTCAAGTAATAACTAATTGCTTAAGTTTTTAAAATTTTTCTTTATTACCATTGTTTACCACATTGTAGTTCCTTTATATAAATTCTAGTCTAACATGCTTAACTTTTTCTCACTGTCTCTCTTACATACTTATGAACTTTAAAACAGATATACAGTTTAATCTTTTGTTATATTTGCTTCAGATATTTTCCCTAATTGCTATTTTTCTTTATATTAGTTACGCATTTTTATGTTGTCCAAAAATTTTAATGTTTATATTGTTGTTGAATGTTTGTTTATGTGAAAAAGAAGAAAGTTGTGATTAGGACTAAAAAAAATAAGCTCTTTATTTTGGAATAGTTTTAGATTTATAAAATTATTGTGAAGATAGTACAGAGAGTATTTGGAAATGGACTTGAATTAGTCATAAATGGATATTGCAAATTCTAGGGCAACCACCAACAAAAGGGAAAAAATATAACTGATATGTAAGAAGGAGAGAAAATGAAATTATATAAAATACTCAATTAAAATCACAGAAGGCAGACCAAAATAGGAACAAAGAACAAGGGCAAAAATTAGAAAACAGTAATAAATATGGTAGATGCTAATCCAGCCATATTAATAATCATTTTGAGTATTAGTCGTCTATATGTATCAGTTAAGACAGAGATTGTCAGCATGGGTCAAAAACATGACCCAACTACTTGTTGTCTATGAGAAACTCACTTTAAATATAAAGACACATATAGATTAAAAGTAAATGGATGGAGAAAAATATACCATGCCAACTCCAATGAAAAGAAAGCAGGAGTAGCTATTAATTTCAGACAGAACAGACTTCAAAGTAAGGCAAGTTATCAGAGATAAAGAAGGGTATTACATAATGATAGAAGGATCAATTCTCCAGGAAGACATGACAGTTCTAATGTGTATGTGTCTCACAACAGAACATCAGAGTACATGAGGCAAAAACTAATAGATGACTCTGCTACCATAGTTGATGACTTCAATGCCCTTCTGAGAAACGGACAGATCCAGTTGGCAGAAATCAGTAAGGGCATAGTTGTACTAAAAACGAAACTACCCAAACGAAAACCCCTGAACTTAACGCAACTGGGTTTAATTTAGATCCCTATCTCCTGCCAACCCTAAAATTGCTAGCCTACTATTCCAACACCATTTGCTGTTTGTGAAAGAAAGAAAATTTATGTATGATGCTTCCTTTATCAAATAACAAATCATTAAAATAATGGTGCTCTGTTTCTGGGCTTTCTGTTGTGTTCCTTTCTTCTGTGTGTCTGTGTCTGCATAAAAATTGCTCTTTTGTTCAACTGTTTCAGGTGTTTCAATGTTAGTATGACTGGTTCTTAAAAGAACAGTGTCCCAACAATGACCCCTGTGATGGTGATGCTTTTGAACACTACCACACTCCTGAAGTATCTAGCATTTTATTTTCCATTCATTGCCTCTTTCAGCCTCTCTTGGGCTGTATATATCCACCAGCATTTTCCTTCCTCTTTTAATTTTTACTTCCCTGTCCTGCTCAGGTTAGCAAACCCAAAGTTTTACCTATTCTAGAATTTATCTTGCTCTTTTAGATTTGTGGTGTGCATTATTTCTTGTGTCCCTGAAAACAGTCTCTTAAACAGTTTGTTTCCTTTTTAATGTTGCCAAAATGTCCTTGGTACATGTTCTTGTATGTAGCAACACGTTATAGTAATATATCACCAGATATATTATGGTAATACATCACCTAAGAGAGAACCTTACCTTTTTGAAATAGAGTCCAAAGCCAGAATGGGTGGCCAAAGTAGATATTAGAGTTCATGCTCTAAAACTCTTGCCCTTTACATGTAGTGGTGGGCTCCATCCAGAGTGTGTTTACAATTAATTTTGACCTGATTCTAATAAACTTTGCTTTTTGGCATAATTTTGCTGGAGTTCTGGAAGGTATGGTGAGGGGGGTAGCTTTAGAGGTCACTTTGCTGATGGTGACAAAAAATGACAGTAAAAGAAGAAAGAAAATGTGACATACAGTCATGGCACTCCAAAGCACAGCCTCAGGGTTTTACTTTGCTTAGGTGGACACAACCAGATGCACCTTTCTAGAGAGACCAGCCCTTGGATTTGACAGGCTAACTTGTGATTCAGTCCCAGTGTCCCATTTACTGGCTGGGAGGCATGGGATTAATTTCTCTGAGTCTCAGTTTCCTCATCCTTGCATAGATTTATGGGAAGATAAAATGAAATTTAATTTAAATGTGGTAATGGAGTAAAGCACATAGTAGGTGCTCAGTAAATATTGGTACCTTCCTATTCTCCCCACCCCCCAACCCCGATTGCTCTTCAGTCTCCAGTGAGAAAATCATGTTCATAATTCTGTCTCTGAGACGTTGGAAAAAGGTTAAATTATATCTAGTATATTCCATTTAAGAAGATAGAGACTTGTGTCATGTATATTAAGGAAATTTTAGAATGACCAGAAATGTTTTAAAATGACATTTTGAAAGTTAGGATATATACTTCATTCGCAGGAGACCTCACTTGGATGGTTCCTTTTATTTCCTCAACACAGAGTGTGGTGTTTCTGTACTTAAGTCTCCTGTGTTACTGACCCTTTTTGAAATTAGAAATATTGCAGAAGTAATCCATTATTCAGTCTTTTTCCTTTTACAAATTGTTTTCCCTATGATTACAAATACATGTTGTTAACAATTCTTCAGTTATTTTTTTGTGAGAACTTTTAGTCTGACCTTATTTCAGTTTGTCAATATTTTTCTCTTGTTTCCTCTTAACTTTGTGATGCTGTGACATTCCTTTCATGACTCATTAGCTGCTAAGCTCAGAAGAGCCTTTTTCCTCATGCTGATTGAACCACACATTTTGGTTTTATGTCTCTAGTGCCGGTAGTGATGCTTCAACTTCTCTGTAGCAAGATATGGTCCCCGTGCCAACCTGATGATTAATTTATTCCTGTGAATATTTTTGCCTGAATTTCTAATGAAAAGATGCAAGCTAACAGATGAAGGAGGCCTTAAATTGTTTCCACAAAAGTATTTCCTATTTTCTTTTTCTGCTTAATGGATTTACCACCTCAAACAGATTTTCCTACTTCTGAATCTTTGTGGTAACCACTGTGTTATTTTAACTGACTATTTTGGAAAGTTGCTAGGTTTGCAAACTGCTAGATCATACAAACATCTCCACCATTTAGAACGGAAGGGAAAAGAAGAGACTTTTTTTTTAATGGTTAGTGGCACATTGAACGGGTCCTTTTTAAAAATTAAATTGTTTGGGAACTTTCTGACCTGCTCGGCATAAGGAGGTGACCCTTTTTGGGAGAGACTCTAAATTAGACCCATGTTACGATCTATAGAAATTTGCCAGAGGATTAGCGGTGCTTTAGTGTCTCGCTTCCTGATTTAACAGTTCCCTGCTGGCGTTACTTCTTGGTTCTCTGATGACCAGTATCCTTCTTTTCACAACTATCATCTCTGACAGTATAATGGTGGATATAAAGAGTCTGTTTATAAATCGACTGTGATATGACACTCAAAGAATAAATAAAATGTTTCAGGGGTTCCAAAAGAGAGCTAGGAGATAGGAGGCTGGCACTGCCTTTGGGTATTGAGGGATACCAGAATTACCCCCCTGTGGACAAAGTGAAGATGGGTCACCGAGGATCCCTGGCCTCTGTCACGTGG